CGGCCCTCACCCTACAACCCTGGCTGGGTGGGGGAGAGGGAGCAGGACGCGCCGCGTCGCAGCTGCTGCTACCGCCACCACTGCTACCACCACCACCACCGTGGCTGTCGCTGTTGGCCAGACCCTAGGCGGCCTCGGCCTGGGGAGTTAGGGGACTAGGGGTGAGAAGGAGTCTGCCATACTAAGCACAGGGAGTGGGCCTAAGCTCTGCTTTCCAGTGACCCCCTAAAGAGGATGTGGGGGGAGGGGCCTGCGCAGCGCAGCAGAGCCCGCTGCAGAGAGGGGACACCGAGTCACGGCCACCCCCTCTCATGCGGGCCTGAGTCAGATCCAAACCCAAACCTAGACAGGCCCGCCCGCCACCCGGCTGGGTTGTCTCCTACCGCACAGCCCTGGCCGCTGAGGCAGGCGAGGAAGAGAGGTGGTGCGGTGGTAACCCTTAGCTGCAGAGGGGGCTACTGGGGATGAGGACGGGGCATCGGCAGCAGTGGCGCGGAGCAGCAGACACCTAGCCTGTCCCTCCCCTCTCCCTCCTCTCGCTCCCGCCGCTCCCCCTCCCCGCGCACACGGCAGTGGCTCTGGCCTCAGATGATCCCGCTCCCCCCTCCCCCCAACCGCAGCCCCGCACGGTCGGGCGGGCGGGCGCACTCACCGATGGGGGGAGCCCAGCAGAGGACAGTAGACGCACCAGGGCTAGGGTGCCCGCAGTGCCTGTTCCCGTCGACTCTGCCCTTCCCCACATGCAACAATCAAAAAGAAACCCCACACTCACCCAAAAACCTGCAGCCAGTCCCCCCTGGGATCAAGACTGCCTGCCTGCCCGCCCGCCTCCCCCTCCTCCTTCTGAGATTTGGGGAAGGGGGCACCCTGCTCAGGGTTGAGCCCAGCCTGGGTTGCTGGCCAGCTCTGCGGATGAACCAGGCCCTGTGAGCATTCAGACCCTAACCCACTCTTCTTCCTTTCTGGAAGGACCCAGAATGGAGGAGAAAACCAAACAGGCTTTCGGAAATTCATGAGCTAAAAATGTCAGGAATTTCCTGGGAAACGCAGTTCCTTACGGGATTCATTAAAGCAGGTTCGCTTGCCCCTTTTACTCTTCCTCCCAGAAACTTCTGTCAAGGAGAGACCCACTCCCAAAAGTAAAACATTAAATGGTCGCTGGTTTTTATGCAGACAGCTAGGTTGCTGACCATTAATTAACCAGTGAGTCTTCGGACGGTGATAGCTAAAAGGGATCTTCTCTGGTGTTAGAAAGGGGCTCAGGAGTAGAGGAGGGGCTCAGAGATTAACTGATTTCTCTTTTACTAGACCTGATGTATAACCTAGGGCCTATTTCCAGATAGTATTGAGTGCTCATACTCTCTCACTGCAGTCTACAGCGCTGGCACTGTGGGAAAGCTAAGGCCTATCTCCAGGGGACCCCCGCCAATGCTCCCACACTCTCCCCCATCACCTTCTACAGGCAGCTGAGAGGATATAGATCACACAGCTCTGCCCCTGGCTTTCTCAAGCACAGATCGTTACCTCTATCCTGAGAAAAGTATACCTATTCCATTTGCGGGTTCTATTCCCGTTGAGCATCTCCTTCTTCCCCCAAAAGTAAGAAGACTTGCCTCCCTCACTCTTAGCCGGAGGGACAACTGGGAATATGGTTGCCCAGCTTCCTAGAAAAGAGTGGACTAACGATCAAGAAACCAAGAGCAGCCTAGAGAATAAGCCTTGATTCCTGAACCCTCAAAGCCCCCTTACCATATCCCTTCACCTCCTGAACAAACTTGCCTGCTAAGTATTCATTCACAGCTTCCTTTTTCTCTTAGCAAGAGCCCCATTCTACTCAGCGGTAGCTGCTTCAGCCCTGGGCTGAAGTTTGCGACTTCCCACTGAAAAGAAACAAGAAGCACCTGGCCACCAAGGAGCAAACAGGCACAGTCTTGTGCACCCGTCTCAGAACCACCCACCTATGCCAGTGGTCCCTGAAATGGCTCTCTGAAGGGAAGGCCCCACACCAAGAGATAAAAAACCTAGTCTTTGGGCCCCATAAAGAATTTCCCCTTATTTGGGGGGCAACCTCTAGTACCCTGTAGTACTCTTTCCGTGCTGATTTTTTTCTGCACTCCCTCCCCTGTCCCAAAGTCTATTGGGAAAGGGACACAGGAACTTTTGAAGCACTTTCAACTGCACAGAAATACATGTGTGAAGAAGCAGTAGCTCCTCCAGACTCAAACAGTAGTAATCAGGACCCTGGATAGACCCCAGCCTCTCCAGGGACAAAAAGGCTGAGTAGCAGGCTCTCCACAGAGAATGGTGTGGGGCATTACGCTTCACTTGTAAACTGAGGCTAAGATCTGGTATAATCCGATCTAGAAGGGCTGCTGCTCTTCCTCAAGAGTTTACCTCGAGTCAAACCAAGCCCCTGCTCCCTAATGAGAACTCAAGGCAGCAAAAAGGCCAATAAGAATACGATGAGGGCCCCACCCACCCCCTGCCAGTCCCTGCCTTTCCTCTGTGCTGACTGCTGCCCCCAGGACGGAAGACTAAGACTCGAAACTGCCCGCCTTCCTATCCCAACTTCCAGTCTAAATTTTCTTGCCCTCCGTCCTAGACGTCTATATACAGGGATTCCGAAGTGATTTGAGTTTGGAAGTGCCCTGTTTTTCTGAAAAAGTGACTGCCACCAAGAACTGACTTCTTAGTTCCCCAGCGCAGAGGCAACTGATGAAGTTTCTAGACAGAACACAAGTTGAATATCATTTGTACACTTAAACTGGGAATTTTAAGCTCAAATCAGCAAATGACTGGGACCTAGATCTCTCCACATAAATACGTATTTATTTTATTCTATTCATTATATATGTATAAAACTTTTGCCCTTATATGCCAGCTTCTCTCCCACTTTATAAGAGTATCTAAAAAGCAAACAAGATAAACAATGCCATTTCCAAAATCATTCAGTGATAAATAGGATTTTTAGCATATTTTCACTACTGAAACGAGAGTTAATTTCAGAATAAGCCTGTAAGTGTGGGCTTTTTCTCAGACTAAGGAGGTGAAAGGCAGCTTTCCTTGGGCTATAGTGTACAGTAGCCTTAAAAGGCAATCTGGGAGAAATGAACATAAACTTCCCCAAAAGTCTTAAAACAAAAAGTTTAAACTTTAAATAAAACTTCATAGTTATATTTGCATTTTAACCGTGGATTTTAAGACTTCTAATCATTCGTTAATTATCTAAACAATATACTAACTTCGTGAATGAAAAGTCTGTTCTAGTATCCAGATGTTTGAATTTGTTACTGTAAAACAAATAGTTGTAAAACTAAATGTATAATTTCATTACAATGTAGGAAAGACAAAAGGAAAACGAAATATACAGCAAATTAATATGCAGCAAAAATCCATGTTAATGAAAAACTTGTGAAAAAGTAAACATTTCCTTTCTCCTCAAAATATGCTTACATTTTAAAGACAATGTCTCTAGATTTCTTGAGCCCTTTTATTATTAATACAACAGACACATTTTAAAGAGAATAGAGACTGCTTTATTTTTAATCCCCCTGTCTCTATGTATTTAACAAACTCTTACCAACAAAAAATTGTGCGCAAAGAAATAGACATTAGGCAGAACAAAAAGGAAAAAAAGCTTTAATTTTCTTCAGCCTGAACTACAAGTTATTCTGAAATAATCTAATTCAGCTTTGGTTTTATAAAGTAAAAATCAACACACATTTATAAAATAGACTTGGAAAGAGGTTGTCTACCTCTGGGTAGTAAACCCTTTTGATTATAGAGCTCCTAATAGAAACAATATGTTGATTAATATTTTACAAAATCACAAATTTCCAAAATAATGAACATTAGAGCTTGTGTTTTCAAGTGATACTTAGGTTAAATACCAATCTTAAACCAGACAACTATCTTCAATACCCAAATCATTAAAACTAACTGGGATGTTATACTGTAAATGTTCAAAGTGGAGGAATTAGCCATTTCTTCTCATGACTATCTACCAAAAAAATTGAGAAACTCTCAAATAAATCTTAACATTTAACAACAACAACGACTAATAGTAACAGCATTTCCCAGATCGTTCTTTAAAAGCGTATCCCTTTTCTATAGTTCACTTAATCTTGAAAATCATGCCTCTTCAATGCTATTTTAATGTTTAGGAATAAAGATATGAAGTAAACATTTAAAATATGAAGAGAACAATCCACTTGATAAAAATCCTCGCATTTCCAAAATGTTTTCATTTTAAGCATTTGCAGAAGAGTTAAATAAACGTAGCAGACATTCTAAATTCGATAAAAGATTCAGAGAACCCGACATTTTATGTACTCCAAAGGTCCAAACAGAACCGATGTAAATGTCAATAGCTGTCTCCCTTCCGGCTGATACTTAAATGGTTTTAC